GTCCATCCAAATGTATGTTTCTACTCCTCAGTTACTGCCCCATACAGGGCTTCGAGCAATTTTAACGGCAATTTCTAGAGGAGAAGCTGGAATTATTTATTGTAAGATGACAGATATTTTGGGCTCTATGACCCACATGCAGTTTCTATTGCATCTTTGTCTTTTAAAAAATTTAAAACTACTCTTAGGTGAAGAGCTATACAGAAAAAGGAGCAGCAAGTCAGGTTTCTCTAGCTCCTTTCTAGAGCGCATAAAACATGAAAATGACATGAAAGAAGATAAACATACTGTTGACAGAACCAAGGTCCATAAGCAAACCTTGAGGCTCACAGTACTTTAGAACAGAAAGGTTCCACAAAACCTACAAGTCACCTGGTCAAAAACTCCTAATCCATTCACTGGACAGTGTATGAAATCTCAGCTCATGGATGGACAGTCATATATAAAAATAAATAACATGGTTTCCCTTATGAAAGCCCAAACTCCCAATTACATGACTATGAAATGGGCTGTTAAGCCTCAGCAGCTGAGCCAGTGAAAACGGTGCTTTAGCTAAGAGCCAGTCGAAGTATGACACAAGCCACAAATGCCACAACCTGCAGTAAGATAGCACCACTTGATTGGTTTAGTGGACTATTAAATCAAAAGTCACTGCTACATGTGAGGAGGGCGGGAGAAATTGGAGGTGTTTACACCGTAGGTGCATATAATAGGATTTTATTTACTTTATCTTTTATTTTCTTTTTCTGTATTTTAGGCAAGGGTCTACAGGGTGTTCAGGGTCTCACTACTAGATCAGACTCGTAGTGATTCTCCTGTGTACAGTCTTCTAAGAGCTGGAATTACCGGCGTATGCCACCGCGCCCAGTCTTAATCATCGTCTCCGTGTGCCCTGGGGGTGGGGCTGGCATGGCAGGCCTGGGGATCAAACCCCCAGCCCCTGTGCCTGCTTGCAGGTGGCCCTATAATAGGATTTTAGAAACCACAGAGCACACTAATGTCACACAGGCCATGAAAAGCTGGTTCTTCCTGAAGCCCCAACTGAGGGAGCAGGGAAGGGATCACACCGGCCGCTGATCCCAGTGTTTACAGCAGCAGCATCAGAGGACAGAATAAAGCACACGTCTACTCTCTTTAGGTCACGAACTACTTAGTTGTTACAAGAAATCACTCATGTTTACCCAAGCAATAATTCAACATTTCAAGGAAAAAGGCAACTTAGGAAACAAGACAGTATCATAATGACCAGAAAAAATAATATTCTCCATCTTTGCATGTGCCTAACACATACCTTACCTTGTCAGAATCCCATTTTATTCTCCATAAACAAAACACTCTTACGTCCACTAAACCTGCTCCTGTGATACAGGACAACTCCGGAAACATTCTAAGACACACTCCACATACCTTCGCTGCCTCAAGAAACAAAACACTAATTTCTTCTATTGTTCATGAATCATCTACCTGCCCTAATTGCTAGACTACTGCCAATATCCTCAGAGAACAATTGAATATAAAAATATTTTTTATATGTATGCTTCCCTTCTTCTGCGAAGGCAGAGCACCTTTCTTTCATACACTCACCTCCTTCTTCTGCAAGAGATCTGAACCAATCCCCTGATTTTTGCATAACCTACGCAAGACATCTAGCTAGAGACTGGCGCGTCCAGGATTATAGCCACGTTAATGGCTCTGAACACAACAGGAGACTCATCTAGGTTCGCCATATGCTAACAGAATCTTTCGCAGGGCTTGCTACAGGATAAGTGTGCTAAATTCTCAAAGTGCACATAATACAAGGAACAGAGTGGGTGCTCAAAATGACAGATGAGAAATCTTCTGTTTGATTGTTCTTGGTTCTTTTATGATGTATTCTCCTATTTTTGTTCTACCATGGAACTCTCCAAGTGGCAGGAACACTGAATAAAACCAGAGGCGCCAAGCGCATCCGAACTGGAGCGCCTTCCACAGACCTTTGTTGGGAGCTGCCGGCACAGTGGACGAGCAGTTCTCTTTCATACATGTTTCCATCACGGGCACCAAGGTCACGGTGTGAACGTCATAGTTCCCTAGGAAGACACAAAGCAGAACAGGAAGGGGAGATACGTATGCTAATGACCCGTCCACTCACCTAAGTTAAAGAAATTGTTTTCTTGCTAGGTGACTCTACTTTCTCTTAATTCAATGATAAGAAAGATTTGTACTAATAGCGTTTGGACAAGATATCTTGTCTGCATCTTGTCTTCTGAATAACTACTATGAAGACAACAATATGTGATGTATTAATTATTGTATCTGTCCTACTAATCTGTTTTGAAACTAGCTTACTGCTATTTCTTCCTCATTAAAATTACTAAAAATAGAAAAATTAAAAAAAGACATTTGCGCTCCAATATAGCTGTGTCCCTGAAGCTTTTCAGTAAGTTAGTTTATAACTGTGAACGCAGTTTTGCCTAGTGAAGCAATTTTAGAAACAGAGGATAGATTCAGGGGCCAACCTGCTAAAAGCCTTTTAAATGTTAACTGGCTAAGCTACAGTATTCACAATACTGTAGACCTTGAACGCCATGTGTGATGCTGTTTCTTTTTTTTTTTTATTGGAATGAGATTTATTTTTTTTCAAAGTTTTATTGATAAACAGATAGCAATGAGACAGTTTCAAATCAAATCAAAAGTACAGTTTCAACAAATAACACACTGCATATATTCTTCTTAGTGGTTAATTGCTGTACAAGATGCGGACTTGTGATCCTATTTACAAACACCATTAGAACAAATCATTCTATTCATTAAGAGAATGCAACTATATATCTATCCCAACCTCTTTGAATACACAGATACAAAATGGACATTCATCGGTATACCCCATTTTTTCTAAGTTCCGTTATTGAATATTATAGGTGTGTAAACTCAGCAAAATATTCTAAAAGAGTCCAGTAGCCCATAATAGCATTGGGTCTTCTGTTTAACTGGCAATGTCAGAAATTATTGACCTGAGTCCCCCACACCTCAACTTAACAGCATGGCTTTATTTCTTATATTTCGACTTCATACTTTTCTACTGGATGTGATGCTGTTTCTATCGCCCATGTATCCAGAGCTCTGCCCTGGGACGCTAGGAACACACCCTGCCCCCACGCAGTTGGCAGAGCTTGAGCTCTAAGGCACCTGCCAGCAGTCCTTAAGCTGTGGTAGAAGGTGTAGACAGGTGCAGGGCAGTTCTAAAAGTAAAGGACAGGCTCCAGAAAAAAGATCACCGAACACCCAAGGCTGCAAGTCATTCTTTCCTTGCATCGGTCCTGAGACTGCATCTTCTTAGAGAGCCATCTACGCTGGCCCAGAATAGAAGTGAAAGTCGCCCTCCTGTTCATAAGAGACAAGGTTTTATTCTAAGAATTTTCTTTGACTCATAAGCTCAGATGAGAGCAGAAGTGGCAAATGGGAGCTGGAGTTTGGGGAAATGTGAGGGGGAGTGCACCAGACGGACGGGTGCCAGTCACACAGCAGTGGGGTGGAGAGAGCTGGGTCCCCTCTGGGAAGGGACACCACAGATACCACCTCCATTTCTCTTTGTCCCCAAGAGTGGGCCCTTTGCAATCAGCACTGGGGTGGGATGGGATGGCTACCAGGTAGTTCAGAGAGGGTGACAGGTGGAGTTTTGTAATGTGCTGCTGTGGGTGGCTAATCCTCATAATAAACATTCACCGAGGCACTGTGCTAGGACCTAAGGGCTCAGCAGTGAGGGTCTGGAGAACTTACACTTAGGGAGGGAGTGCAGGGAGCTACCAACACAATTATAGCTGAATGAAGAAAGTGAAATGAAAGTTCTTAAAAATGTATGGCATAAGAGGGAGAAGTGAATTCTAGACAGGAAAGAAAACAGCTCTTTTGAGAAGGGGCCACCTCAGTGAGCCACAGAACTTGTACACTTGACTACCATGAGGCAGGTGCCCCAGGGGCAACTGCAGGGGCAGGGAAGACACAGCAGCTAAATGTCCTGAGCCACCAGGCAGTCGCTCTGCACCAAGCACCCCACAGCCACCTCAGCTGCCAGGTGAGGCCGAGGCCGAGCAGCAGTCAGAGCAACTCATCTGCGAGGGCACAAAGGTTGCCGGCTGGGAAGCCACAGTGCAGCTCTGTGTGTTCCACGGGCAAGAAAGGACAGTGAGAAACAAGAAGGTGGCACTAAGATGGGGACCAGGGAGTGACACAAGAGATCCCTGGGGACCAGGGATCGACTGTCCCTCCACTGTTTAGTGGACACTTCCCTCCAAGCCCTTGGGATCTTTCGGACACGGATTCCGTGGGCCTGCTCATGGGTAGGCTCTTGTGCATGAACTGCTGGTTCCTCTGGCCACAGAGGTAGGATCTGCAATCTCCTAAATCGCCAATGTCATCTGCAAATTATGCATCCTCTACTATCATGCATACTTTTGACACTCTTGCTCTCTGGTTCTGATTCCTCAGCTGCCTCTCTTTGCACCCCTGTATTGGTTGTCTGATGGTTATTTAATGCCCACTGAAGAACTGCGTACTTCTGCACTCCTAACTCCACCTGCAACCCAAGTTCGGTATCCTCAATGATTAACGTCCTTCAATACGTATAGTCAGCTTCATGAGTCAAGAGTGTTCCCAATCTATGAGATGAAAAAAACAACCCATAAAGAATAAAAAGCCTCCTTTTGTAAGATGCTTTTACATGCTTGACTTTTGTAGTCATCACAAAAGCTTCGTGCAGCAGTTTTCAGTGTGAACGTGCATACATATTTTTACTAAAGAGCTTGAAACACTAGCTCTAGCGTTGCCTCTTTTTTTTTTAAAGTATTTTTTGTATTTCTAAGGAAAATATTTACAATCCAAGTATGATACAAACTTCCTTTCCAAATAATTCAAACACTGGCCACTGAATTCAGAAGGAAATAAATACTGAGCACATTTTGAATTCACAACTTAAAATGCTGCAGCTTTATACTCTATTAAGCAGGTCAGTATAATCAATGTGTGCCTCTCATCTAGCAAGTAATTAAACTGCAGCCATTGCTGGGAACAGATATTTATGAGTCACAAAAGTTCAGTAAAAGTGGAGAGCATAGGGGGTACTTATATATGAGATCTTTCTCCAAATCTGTCAGACCAGAAAACTGGAAAAGGTGATGCTCACGGAAGTACAGGGAAAGCAGTAACAGGATGTTTCTCATATCTTTGGACAAACACTAACACCTCCCTATGAAATCCAGGACAGTCTGTAGCTTAATAACTTTTAATTCCATATTTGATGTTTCTATCCTGTGCTGGGATGCCTCGGCTTGACTAATATATTTCACTGAAGCATAATTATTCTGAAATATTCCCAGAAAGATAATGCCATACATTGTCCATGTGCTAATTAAGAAATGTTCATTAAAAATAAGAAAAAAGGGCTGGGGAGAGGGCTCAGTGGAATAAGCGCTTCCCTGGCAAGCGCAAGGGCCTGAGTTCAATCCCCGGTTCCACAAAAAATAAATAAATAAATAAAAATAAGAAAAAAAATTTCATTTGCAAAGGACCACTAATTAAATCTTAGCTTTCAGTTTAGTGGTTTGTGGAGACAGAACTGTTTTGTGGTTTCCGTTCTCTACAACCCACTCAGTGGAATCAGTCAAAGGAACTTCTCAGCAAAGCTCACAAGCATGGTTTCCATCTAGAAGAGCGGGGGGGGGGGGGGGGAAGAGCAACAAAGAAATCTAATCGAAACAACAAAAGTTAGAAAAGGGGCGGGAAGAAGCACATTAAAAGCACAATGAAAAGTCTAAAATAACATGGAAAAGTTGGCCCTGAATCACAGGGAGTGTAGATGGGTGGGTCTAAGAAGAGAAACAGCTAAATCAAGGTCATAAAAGGGTGCTGACAGTCCCAGCTTCATCGATAGGGTCTCTTCATCACAGTACTAAAAGTGTGTGTATACTCTGCTTTTTCTTCAGATCGTACACATCTTTCGCCTTTTACTAAACCCGTGTGTCTACTACGTTGAAGTTCTTGTTCTCTAGTGGTTTCCAAATCCAAGTGTTTATCATGTTCAGTTGGTTAAGTATAACATGATGTACCGTAATCAAATACATGTGGAATGATGGTTGAGAATTATGCTAGTTATCATTCTCTGGGGAGATGGGGTAGAGAAGAAGAAAAGAATTCCTAAGCTATTATTTTGCAACGAGGCTGTTGGCTGTCTCCTGGAATATGCTCAGTGATACTGAAACTTTCCTACTAAGCTGAGCTCAGCTGATGTTTCTTGTACTGCACTTTCTCGCAGACGTGGACAGCTAACATACAGCTGGCGAGCACTTTGCAGTCTTGAGTCTTAGGAGTAAACAAGAACATGTTTTCAAAGCAATGACAGAAAAAGATTTCATCCATTAGTGTCTGTGATCCTGCCATCAAGCCACACACAAGTTTTATCTGCCAGGGAAGCCCATTGGGCAGTAACGGCAGTACCTGCCACCGGGGTTCTGTTTTTCAGTCTATCCACTTCCATAGTGAAGTCGTCCTTCAAAAACAGGAAGCCGATGATGGAAAACAGGTAAACGAGAATGAGAGCTAGGACTGCAGTCAGAATAATGGAGCGGCCATTCCGGGTGACACTTTTAATGACGTTGAGCAGAGTCTCCTCTCTGTACACCAAATCAAAAAGCTATAAAAATGCAAGCAAGGAAGAAATGTAAAGACAATTCAAAGAAAATGTAAGCCATTTTAGCTTATCTAGGAAAAAAATTACCTAAAAATGAACCAAAATATCTATTTCTTCTCCAATGAGATTGTATTAATAATAAAGTATTAACAGTGTTTCAGTGATCATAAATCTAAATGGCATATAATGTGAATCTGTTTGTTTTATAATGAATATGATACCAATGTACTAAGACATTATAAAAATAGTATACTTCCATTTTAACTCAGAAAAATTATAATAGTAGGTCCACCTAATTGATGAACAATTGACAAGTTCATTAAGCCTCCTGCGTCATTTAGGAAATAGAAGTTAAAATGAGAAGAACAGGGGCTGGGGAGATAGCTCAGCAGAGTAAGCACTTGCCTGGCAAGTGCAAGGCCCTGAGTTCAATCCCCAGTTCCACAAAAAAAAAAAAAAATGAGAAGAACAAATTTACAAGCCTGGTGTAAGACAAATGGTATGAAACTTTAAAATATTTGAGAAATTCCAATGTCATTCCTTTCTCAAGTGATATACTAATGAGGACAAAACCTATTACTTTAGCGTATACCTGTGGAAGTAAAGTATACACAAAAATGTAAGAGCACATTTTGGAATTTGTTTCCTCTGATGGTTATTATTCATTTTACCCTTAGTAGTAGAAAAATCTATGTGCTCATCAAGAATAAGTACAGATTCTCTATCTGTCCTAAACACAAAGAACAGCTTGACTTATTGTGACATTATACAGCTGAGATTATGCATTAAGAAGCATACACTATATTATAAAAATAGGGTTGAAGGCAATAAAATCATACACATTTTTTAAAAGGTATAAGTATCTACTTAAAAAGGAATGGTATCTTTAAGCTTGGACCAATTAGAATTTGTATTTCACTACCTGTGAGCAAAAATTAGCATTTCTCGGCTGGCTGAAATTATTAGTTATGTATCACGCATCATTTCAGAAGTATCAAGGCCTGATTCTCTCTTTTTCTAAGTATTAAAAGTTACACAATTACTTTCTCATTTAATTATAGTATTACAAATAATTGCTGTATAAATACTGACTTGTCTGCTTGCCTCAGGAAATTGATGTTTATGATGGCTTAATTAAAAAAGTTTACCTATTTACCTAACTCTTTATCTCATAGAAGGTGCAGCTATCTTTAGAAACAAAGTCAATGTTCTTCAGCAGAGACAAATTAACTAACACAAATTCAAACTTCCAGACTGTCAGTGCTCTGACTTCTTCAATTTACTTAAGGATTAAATTGACAAAAAGGATATTTTCCTTTATGTTAACTCAATGGTGGATTGAAGGAAGGGGCTTACAATGCACTCTAGAAAGTTATAGCTCTCAGAAGTCTCTAGAAAGTTTGCTAATGATTCCTGTTCCTGGGGCCCATTCTATGCCCAGAATATTACAAATGGAAAATGCACTGACATTGGACTTATTCATGGTCCTTTCTGTTTATTTCTGAAGGGAAAATCTAGAGTGTAGTTTTTATTACTTTGGATAAGGGACTGACACTATAGGTATAATCTCATACGCAGAGTTCACATTGAAATATTATCATTTTTATTTATTTACTTATCTTTTTACAATTAGTACAGGGGCTACAGGGTCTCACTACACAGACTGGACTTATAGTGATCCTCCTGTTTTCAGCCTCCCAAGCACTGGGATGACAGGCATGCACCACCACACCTAGTCTCAGTCACTTTCTCAGTGTACCCCTGGGGTGCAGCCAGCACAGCACTCTGGGAATCAAACCCCAGTCCATGCACCTGCTTAAGCAGGCTCTTCAATCCATTGAGTTATCTGGCTGGCCCTCAAATATTTTTAAATAGTAACAACATTGTTAAATATGTGTAGCTACTAGTTTTGGCATTAAGTGCATAGCAATTTCCTTCTAGTATTCTGAACATCAAAATAGACTAACAAGCCAAATCAAAAATTAGCATCAGGAGGGTAAGATTTGAAGGATAAAGGATCAGAGGAAAATAAGAGAAAAAGGATTAACAGAAAATAAAAGTAGTATTACTAGTAATAACTCATAATAAAATATACATTTATTTTGTCAAGTACCCTTTCCATAGATGTCAAATGTTTTTCATATCATCTCCTCAATGGATCTTAAGAGTGCCACTTACTAAAACTTACGCATTTTGTAAACAAGAATATGGAAAAAAATCATAAGCCCATCAAATTATACACATTAAATAGGTACAGTTTTTGTATGTCAATAATACCTCAATTAAGTGGCCTAAAACACACAAAATAGTATGTGCCATAGTGAGGTAGAAGTGCTGGGTATAACGGGGCTTTATCGATGACAGGCAGGTTAAAAATGGAGTGTTTCTGGTGAATTGGAAAAGAGGAAATTCATTTGGATTGAATCTATTACATTGTTGAATCATCTAACTTAACTGCCCAGAATGCTTATGTCAAAATACAATAGACAAACCCACTCTTTACTAAGGTTCTTCCAAGGGTTGGAGGGTACAGGGAAACTGTCCTCATGTCACTCCCCCACATGGATGTGCTAGATAATCAGTGTCCTCAGGGATGTGAGCCAACCGGGGCGACAGACCATTTTAGACCTTCAGTTTGTCTTCAGGAATCATTTTATCAAATAGTACTCTCCACCTGATGTCTACTATGCGACAGGAAATTGAAATTGTCCTACTGTATCATGACAGTAATGGCCCTGGTAATATTTTCAATCTGAAAAACATTATCCTATTTTATATTGACCCCTTTTCTGGCTCATGGCTATAAAAAAATATGGATGTAGAAAGGAAAACTGAAAACCAGAAAAGACATAGAAAAAATATACATGTAGTATATGCTTAATAATAGGACATATCAAGGCTGCAATAATAAGGCTGTACTTAAAACAACTCATTCTGTTGGGCTGGGTTTTGTTCTCTTTTGTTTAAACAATATACTACCCTAAAGATGAACACAACATCTAAATAAAATATAATGATTTCTGTACCTAAGAAAACATATTGCTATTTTTCCCTACCCTCTGTTGGAGAATCATTAAATATAAAGGAACATCTTATTTGGTTGAAAGCAAAAGCAGTTTATTTTCTTATAAAGTCTGGGTCAAAAGATAGGGTGGTTGGAGGCTTCTCAGAAAAGAAATTAAGAAAAAACTCTACCACCTATGCAGTTTCCCTGAGAAAAAGAATAAGAATCACATACATATTTTTCCTAGGTAATTCTAAAAATAACATAATTTGTCCTAAATGTCAGAGCCTGCTTTTAAAAAAAAAAAAAAAATCAAAAGATGAGGCTGAGCAGCAGCACTGTGTATTCTTTCAGCAGCGATTGTCCACGGGACGCGGTACTCACCAGGAAGCTATAGAAGAATTCGTGAACAAACAGACCCAGCATGCAGACCAGGACATAGGCAACGTGGTAGAGAAAGGCCATGTCCAGGATGACGGCTCGGTAACCCCGGGTGAACGTGCCGCGATTCCCCACGAAACTCACCAGAAACACTATTTTATTGCAAAGCTAAAGGGAAGAAAAGATTCGATGTTATTGTCATGTTGATCCTCAAACTCACACATAGAGCAAGACACTGGGAAAGAAAAAAAAAGAAACCCTATTATTCACAAAGTCAGTTATTTTCTTTTATGATTTCTCATTTAGTAGTTTCTCAGCATGGCTTACAAATTTCCATATAAATATAATAAGTGCAAAACTTGTATCCGCTGCAGGTTTAGAAAAAGAGAGGAATGATGAAGAGACCCAGCTATACTGCCAAGACAGAACTGAGCTTAAATCCTGGGTTTCTTCACTATTGCCTACGAGCACATCCTTCAACAACTTCTTCTGAAAAATTGTAGTAAAAATATTCCCACCAGCTAGATCTCTTCAGACGACGAAATGACACAATGTAGATGAACCAATTAGTCCAGTGACACCTTAAATGCTACCTTCATTATATTTTCCATATCATAGATATTTTCTTTCTTTCTTTCTATTTATTTATCTATTTATTTATTTGGGTTTTTTGAGATAGTCTTGCCATGAAGTTCAGGCTGGCCTCGAGCTCACTTTGCAGCCCAGGCTGGTCTCAAATTCACAATGATCCTCCCGCTTCAGCCTCTCCAGTGCTGGGATTACAGGTGTGCACCACCACACCCAGATAACATTATATAATTGTACTAAAAATATAATTAATTATACTAAAAGTTTAATTTTAATTGTGCTAAAATATAATAAAAAGTATCTTTTCAGAAAATATCCAGAGATCTATCTTTAATTTCATTATAATCCTGGATTTTTTATACTCAATGTTACTTCAAATAAGTAGGTCACCAAAGTATTTTTTACACTTTATTTTATATACAAAAAAATATACAATTATATACTGTGTTAAAATAAATATAATGCATATACTTATTTCCTAAGCTATATACTTGATAGTTATTCAATAAATATTTTGGGAGGAGCTGGCCAGATAGTTCAGTGGACTAAAGTGCTTGCTTTAGTCTAGAGTTCAATCCCAGTCTGCCTTGTTGGCCCCGCCCTCAGGGCACACTAGATGGTGATTGAGACTGGGTGTAGTGGCACGTGCCTGTAATCCCAGTGCTTGGGAGGCTGAAAACAGGAGGATCACTACAAGTCTGATCTGTGTAGTGAGACCCTGTAGACCCTGTACTAATTACACAAACATAAATATTTTGAAATATTTATTATTTTTCTGACCTTATAGTATATTTATATTAAATAAACATAAATATTTATTTATTATGAATATAGTATATTTATAATAAATATTTAGTATTGTCTTCTGTGGCATAACATTGTAATGTAAAAAGTTATACTGAGATTTTTATAATAATAATGATCTACGCAATGATTTACAAAAACAGCAATTAAGATAAGTTTAGTGCTATGTATTTGCCTTTAGGATTTCTGCATTACTTGTAAACTCAATTTTCCCTTTTAGTCATTAAGGAAAGAACACAAATTCTTAAAAAATCTTTTATTCATTTATTTATTTGGTACAGGGTCTTGCGATGCAGCTTGGACTCTAGTGATCTTCCTGTCTCAGCCTCCCCAGCACTGGGATTCCAGGCATGCACCACCACACCTGGGGTTCCGGGCAGGCATGGCATGAAGTGGCAGGGATGGAACCCGGGTCCTTGTGCTAGCCAGGCAGGCGCTTAGCCCACTGAGCTATCTCCCCAGCCCAGAATTCCTATTTTTAAATGTTCACAGTTGTTTTTCTTCATTGCTTCTTGGGTCATCCTTTATCTAATGGAATCATATTTGCTTCTGAATGTCCAAGTATGACATTGGGAAACAGGCTGCTCTCTGTAGCCCTGCTGATTTTCTGCTGAAGACAAACACCTTATAAGATAATTTTGGATAACACAAGAAATAACGTGATAGTCTGAGGCAGGTTTGAAATTTGAGAGGATAGAAAAACTTTTCCTTCAACATCCTGGAGGCCAAATCAATACAGATGAAATGATAAATGGGTTTGACTTCATGCTGCGAAAAGCCAATAAGCCAACAACGCAGCAAGTTCCTGAATTTTTCTTCCAGCTGAAAAACTATCTTCTGAATAATTGATGTGATCACTTCTTTCATCATTTTGTTTAATATTTCAGTAATGTTGAACAGAAAGTTTTAACTAGTTAAAGCTTTGTCACTGGGAGTTTATGCTATTACTAAATCTACAGGAAAGCAGGAGTCTTTATGTTTATTGTTCAAGGGCAAGACTGATATTATAAGAAGCCATTATTTAAAAACTTAGGAAACATGAAAGATGATGACACATACGAAGTCTGACACACGGACCAGAAACATCCATGAAGATGCTTAGAAACAGAGTGGCAAAGAATTATTCTGTAGTTTGATCTTTAAATTGTTTGGAGTGGCTCTTGTTTAAATTTATACTATTTATCTTGATTCACCTACTACAGTTCATTACTGTCATATAAAAGTAAGTTCGATAAAATACGAAGTTAGAAGCTGAAATCATGACTTTTCAGAAGGATGAATGTGATTAAGATAAGCTATTTATATGTTACTTCCCGATTTCTAACTCTCTAAATCATTTTGTTTTGTTTGCGGAACCGGGTGTTTGAACTCAGGTCCTTGCGCTTGCCAGGGAAGCGCGTATTCTGCTGAGCCATCTCCCCGGGCCCCTCTAAGTCATTTTTTTTTTAAATTTTATTTATTTATTTATTTGTGTGTGTGTGTGTGTGTGTGTGTGTGTGTGTGCGCGCGTGGCCAGCTCAGTCCACCAGGGGGCGGGGCTGGCTGGCATGTGGTGCTGGGGGATTGAACCGCGGTCCCTGTGCTTCACTAAGCCTGCTCTAAGAAGGTGCTTTAGACCACTGAGCCATCTCACCAGCCCCTCTAAGTCATTTTGTAAAAAATTAAATTATTTATAAGCCCCATTTGCGCAGGACAAATAATAAAAGTACAGAGACCTTAAATTCTTTCTTTAAAAAATGTATTTGGTATAGGGTCTGCAGGGTCTACAGGGCTCACAGGGTCTCACAATGTAGATCTGACTCATGGTGATCCTCCTGTTCTCAGCCTCCCAAGCACTGGGATTACAGGCGCGCACCACCACACCCAGTCTCAATGTCCATCGCATCACACCCCAGGGGCGGGGCCAGCATGGCAGGCCCAGGGATTGAACCCCAGCCACTATGCTCTGCCTAAGCAGACGCTTTATAAACTTTAAATTCTTAAAAAGAGCAAAGCATTTCAGTTATCAATGCAAAAGCAAGAACATAGGTCTGCCTAAAAGGCACTGTGAGTTTTCACTTGAAACACACATTTTCTTTACTCTTCCTCAGAGTCCTTGTTTGTTTTCTAGCCTTGCTCTTGAGCGCAAAGGGTGCACTTCTGTTCTCTACGCTAAGTCTGACAGTGGAGGTGGAGGTTACAGTGACATCCAGCTAATTTTTCTGAGATCAGAACAGGCACTTTCTTGTCCTCACTGTTTACAGTGTTCATACAAAGGAGACATAGGGGTTCTACAGTCTAAGTGCAGTAGTAATCGCACACTAAATTCAACAACCATACTGAAGCTACTTTGTGTTGAAATCTACATACAACTTCAGTTTTTAGAAATGAATGATGATAAAAATGTAAGACCATAAGAAGCAGAAACTGGCCAAGGAGATGGCTCAGTGGAATAAGCACTTCCCTGGCAAGCGCAAGGGCCTGAGTTCAATCCCCAGTTCTGCCACGAAGAAAAAAAAAAAGAAGTAGAAATGGATAACACTAAGTGCTCAGCACACAAGTTGAGGTTTTTGCCTCCCATTCAATTCCTTTTGCCAAAGAAAGATTGCATCAGCTTAACATGGTGGAGGTTAGAAGACAGAAACAAGTAACTCTGCGAACTAAAATACAAACATTTCGGTCTCATGCGGGCAATAATTTACAATTAAGTCATGCTTCATATATTAGTTATGCTTGATGAATGTTGGCCATTATTATTGTTCTTTACTAGATCTTCTATATTAACCTTCTCAATTGAGTTCTAAACCCTGGTGAAGACTGACCAGGCATTCAAATCTTCAAGAGTTTGTTGATTTGCCCAAAGTCTAGAATTCTGATTCTCAGTAAGGTTAAACTTTTAGGTGTATATCTTTAGTTTCCCTGCTTCTGATACCGGTAAGTTGAGTAGTTATGGTTTCACCAGCTAAAAATGCAAACACCTAAATGTTAATTAATAAAATATATTAAAATTTAAGATAAAACAACATGACTGATTCATAGTTCTATTTATTTACCTCTGGAGTAATGCTGAACTATTAATAATTTTATAGAGCTTCACCAAAACATTTTGCTAGTCCATAAAATGTTAAAATTATAGCTAAAGGGGCTGGGGAGATGGCTCAGTGTAATAAGCGCTTCCCTGGCAAGCGCAAGGACCTGAGTTCAATCCCCAGTTCTGG